AAGAGTTACAGGAAGTCAGACTCCTACAAATCCCACACAGAAGACTAACCTAATTTGTACTTTTTAGATTATGCTTTACCTTGGGCTGTATGAATCATGAGTCATGTTCTCATCGCCTGAGTTTATACAGAAAAGTAGACAAAAATTTGCAATAATCACTTTCTTTCAATCCTTTGGAAAAAAGGATTATTTATAAGATAAAGATGAGGCACTCTAAGATATATTTCCAAGGCCGTCAACTCAAAGAAAGGGTTCTGCACTTCGAGTTTAGCTACATTTGTACAGCTCCAGGTTTTTGGAAATCTGTTAGTGAGACCTGAAGGAATCTTCAAAAGTTTAAACTTGTATCCTGTTTACACAAACATGGAATTTACAGGTTCTGGGGAAAAAAGGTCACTTTTTACTCACGTGTGATTATAATTTCAAGCATATTAATATTCAATTTCCCAATGTTAAACAAAAGCCAGAATTGAGATGATATACAAAATTTGCATGAAATTCAATTATAGTTAAGACTAGGCCAGAAGCCAAAACTTACTACAGTCAACAACCTGAAGTACCAACATGTTTATATTTCTTCCCAAATCCCTTTCCTCAGCCAACTTTGTAAAAATCTCAGGCAAATTTTCTTACTTATTGGATCAGTATTTTAATCAAATCAGCTACCATCGTCATAGTGCAGATTCCCTTGCCACTGGCAGACAATTACACGGACGTTACCACTTCTGAGTATTTCATGGCCTGTATTCTCATTCATGTTCATCAAAATAAACTCCAAGAAGGCTGAGAAGAAGAGAAAGCTACAGCACGGGGCACGGCAGGATAAGGTTCCGTTCCAAATGGTTGCCCACAGAAACAATGTATGCGGTAGTTATGCTCTCCATCTACTTGTTACCCTATAACATAACTGATGTGTACTACCAGGAAATAGCTCTTGATCACCATGTGTCATATCTTTATGTGAGAAAATGAAGAAATTCAGCTCACTGGAGGGGAGAAGAAATGGGATATTTCTGGGCACCAGAATATTGTGAATGTGTAATATTTGGAAATTGCTTGTATATAAAATGATTTATCCAAAAAGCATACTTGGGGAATTCTTAAGCTCCAAATCTATAAATAGGCCCAAATTTTTAAAAAGGGTGGTGGTGGTGGTGAATGTATATGTGTAAAGAAACAGTAACAGAATACTTAAATACAGAGCAACAAAGAAAGTAAGTGTGAAAAACTAAAAACCACTATTATACCAAAGGCTATATATACTATAGCTTATTTGCCAATCCGGCGGCTAGAAGGATGACTCTAGGAGGAAGGTGCAGTACTAGCATATGCTAGATGAGCTCCAGGAGGAGAGAGATGATTTCATCTTACTCATTCACTGCTACAACCCCAGGTCCCAGTACCACTCCTGGCAACAAGCTGAGGTTCCATACATCCAGCTTCAGAAGAGGGTCTGAACTTAAATAATGAGACATAGAGTGTTTCTCTACTATTTATGTAACAGGAGTCTTACTAAGGGCAGGATGAATTTTTCACACATGTGAACTTGGTATTTAACTGAGTGGAAGCTGTGTACAGAAGTATAATCATATCTAAAACGAATATAGCAAAAGTTGGTTTGTCTGATTCTCAAGTGGTACTCCTTAGTACATGAGAAGGCTGCTTGCCAATGAAACCGAAGGCTTAGGGAGCAAGTTCAGTCGAAAAAACACTGGCAACTACCAATCCCCTAACAAAGATCAAACTTTTTATGTAAACATAACGAAAGAAAACCTAATCAATGGAAATTATACCTACAAAAGGTGCTTAATGGCATATATGCAAAATTACACAATATGCTTTAAAAATACCACGCATGGAAACCCAATACACACCAGGAAAACACTCAGTCTGTTAACTGTATTCTTATGGAAGTATATCTGACGAAGAACTGACACGAGTGCTAATAATGATGTGCTCTGGCTTAGGTCTATTCAAAACTCAGCCTGGGCCAGGTGCAGTGGCTCATGCCTGTAATCCCAGCACTCTGGGAGGCAGAGGTGGGCGAATCACCTGAGGTCAGGAGTTTGAGAACAGCCTGGCCAACATGGTGAGACCTCATCTCTACTAAACATACAAAAATTAGTTGGGGGTCCTGGCACGCGCCTGTAACCCCAGCTACTCAGGAGGCTAAGGCAAGAGAATCGCTTGAATCGGGGAGGCAGAGGTTGCAGTGAGCTGAGATCGTGCCACTTGCACTGCAGCCTGGGCGACAGAGTGAGACTCCGTCTCTAAAAAACAAACAAAAACACAGCCTGTGGGTTGGCCTTCCACACTGACTGGGTCTGGCTTAATATTATAAGCTGAATGATCAGGAATGCTGGTTAGGAAGAGACACAAATCCTGAAAATAAAATAATTTGTTCTTTTCTTGGCGTTACTATCTTTCTTAGTCCTAAGGTGCTACACTTTCGATTTTTTTAAAAAAATTAATAACCCTAGTATTCCTCAAATGTCACACAATCAAGGTAAGAGCTGGGGTGGAAACTGAAGTTATTATATAGTTATTAATTTTTTGGTCACTGTTTTTCTACCCGAATGTGGACAGATCACCATCTCTGATAATCTGGCTTCAGTTTCCTCTCTCTGAAAGAGTTACAGATTCACATGTATTTCAGGAGAAGGCTAAGAAGGAACAAAGATACATGTAATGCTCCCTTACAGAAAAGTGGCCATATTACCATGAAAAACACTTAAAACAAAGGCTTCTTCAGGGACGTCTTCCTTAGCTTCCTTCCTCTTCCTTAGCCTCCCACTAGCTTGAGTCATCCTTCTAAGGCTTTCCTTCACAGCATTGATCACAATTGCAATAATTTGAGTAATTAGGAATATTTACCTACCCCAACCAGACCGTATCTCCAGGAGGACAGGGAGTTTATCATCAATGAAATGAGCCCCCAGTACCTAGCATAAGGCTGTCAATTCTTGTTGCATATGTAAATAAATGAAGGAGCACTTTGGAAGTCAAAAGTTAACCATGGGGAAGTAATCACTTGAAAATGTTTCATCAACAAAATGTGTATTCCCATGCTCGAAATCTGAAAGTAGAAGCTTTTAGGGGTTCTCCTTTTTTCACAGACTGGTAAGAGGCAGAAAGAGCGTAAGAAGAAGAGAATACTCACTGGTGGTGGCTTCTTTCTCATCTCAAATATGCGTGTGGCACCAAAACTGAGTGAAGCAATAGTAGGGCACCTCCCTAGTGAGGGTTCATCATCACTGTGCCAGTCCACACTGTCCTTCTCATTGCGGTAAAGATTGCAGAGTAAGGAGTTGAAGGTGTGGCCGGTGTTCTCTTCAATGCGGTTCTTTAGTGTGCGCAGCACAGGATGCCACTGCGATCCACAGACCAAGAAAAGGGCAGAGACAGTCGCATAGCACACAAAATGGCAGCCGCGTGGAAAAACAGAAAGAAAGGGCAAAATCAGCCAAGTTATAACCAGGGCATGAAATAAGCAAATCAGTTGGAATGCAATAAACAGAAGGCAAGAAAAGTAGTTTAATTCCCTCCCATCGTTTCTATTTTGAAGCAAGTTGATCTCTGCAATGTTATAAAAGTACTAAATTTAGTACAGCAATATCATGAGGACCAGAATCTATCTATCCATCTCATCCTTTCCATGTGAAACACATGGCCTTTGCAAAAAAGCAAATATCAGTATCTTCAGGGCAGCGACCTTGGTAAGTCATTAAGGTGGTAAGTGGAGCAGCAAAGCTGATATGTCACTAGGTAGTCAGCAGACCCAGACTAAAGCCTGAAGACTGGAAAAACTTTCCTGCTGGGTGGCCCTCTGTTCGTTCTATTCCTGTTTTATCTTGATGGGGAGAATCGCTTTTTAAAAATGATCTTTAATATTTCCAGAGTGGCTAATTTCCTAAAAACATAACCGAAGAGTAAAAACATTCTTTTCTAGAAAATGAGAATCATGATAGGCTCTTGACAAGTGTACGAGACATCAACTACAGAAGACAAACAGGTTCCATGGACCTGCCTCCTGGGCACTGGTTTCACTGATGTAATTCATATTTGGAACTGTCTTGCCACGTATACTACAGGAAGCGATGACCCCTGACCTTAGATTGTACTTGGGCGCTACAAACAACATAGCTTATATTGGTTCTTGCTAGAATGCTGTCTTTTCTCCCAGAAATCTCAAGGACTTTACAAAGTTTCCTTTAGAACAGTGGTTCTCAAACTTTACATGAGAAATTATTGAGGAGCCCAAATAACTTTTGTTTATATGGGTTACGGCCATCAGTTTTTACCATATTTAAAATTAAAACTGGAAAAATTTTCAACTACTGGTTAATTCATTTAAAATGCAATGACAGGCCAGGCACCATGGCTCACACCTGTAATCCCAGCACTTTGGGAGGCCGAGGCAGGTGGATCACGAGGTCAGGAGTTCAAGACCAGCCTGGCCAACATGGTGAAACCCTGTCTCTACTAAAAACACAAAAATCAGCTGGGCGTGGTGGCACGCGCCTGTAGTCCCAGCTACTCAAGAAGCTGAGGCAGAAGAATCACTTGAACCCAGGAGGCAGAGGTTGCAGTGAGCTAAGATTGTGCCACTGCACTCCAGCCTGGGTGACAAAGCAAGACTCCGTCTCAAAAAAAAAAAAAATTTTTTTTAATTAAATTAAAATTTTAAAAAATGCAATGACAAATCCATTACATGTTAACATCAACATTTTAATGAAAAATAACTATAATTTCCAATACAAATAACTGAATAATTGATGAGAAGGGTGACATCGTTTTGCAAATCTTTTAAATATCTAACTTCTTTAATAGAAGACAGCTGATTCTCATATTTGTTTCTGCATTCAATCTGTTAAAATAGGTCATTTTTATTGAAGTATATGAAGGAAATTGGCTTCACATAGGTATGTAGTTCACAGCCTTTTCAAATAACTGTAGATATTCTTCTTTGACATTATACCAAAACTCAACAAGTGCTGGTTTCTTTTTTCTTTTTTCTGAGACCACGTCCATCTTTTAATTGGTATAGAAACTACTTTTATTTCAAGAGAGCCCTTGTGCTCTGGTTTGATTTTGTGTACAACATATACAAAATCTATGGCTATTTAGTTAAAGTAGGATCAGAGTTAAAACCACCTGCCAAGACAGTTTTGGGATGAAATGACTACATTTACCGTCTGGAGAGCTATTTGCTGTCTAGAGGTGAGAGGAGTCTGTACAATGTGGCCACTGGGCGGGAGGGTGGAGCTGGCTGTCCGCGGAGGGGCAGCCATCCCCGCTGCACACTAAGTGAAGGCGGTGCGGCACTATCTGGAAACCGTGGAGCTGGAGTGGGACTGGCTGGAGGAGGTGGTGGCGCGCTCAACTGGGAGAAGCCACTGTGGCTGGACTCCAGGCTCGTCATGGAACCTCTGAAACCCTCGGAGCCTATCACCTTGGTGGAGTACATCACTTTACAGTTGTGCGAAGAGATCTGCAGGGACGTGAGCACATCATCCACCTGAGACAGGCTGGCGGCGTCCGCAGGCATGCTGTGGAATTTCCACTGCAAGATGTAGAGGCCCGGCCACCTGGTCACATGGGAGTCTTGCACACCTTCTCCTTCTTTACAGATCAGAGGCGACTCCACCATGCCGCAGTTGTGGCCCCGCTGCCAGACTGTGTCTATGAGCTGCACATTGTTCCCAGGGGCCCCCAGGGAGTCCTTTTAGGGTGGCTGTGGCGACCTCTTGGAGTGATAGATGTTAAAGGCAATGTCCCCTTTGTACACGTCAAAATTCCAAGTGATGACTGAAGAGGCATTCACAATCTGAATGAGAATCTTGTGCGGGGCTCCTCTGAAGATGCTTGCAGACTGGTAGACGGTCTCAGTTCAGAGCTTGAAGTCTTCATTCTCCAGCTCCTCCACAGTCCAGTACAGAGATTTGGGGACCAGTCCACCCTCTGGCACTTTGTACATGCACACTCCACTCAGGAAATCTGGAATAATCTGTCAATGTAATCCAGCAGGCCTCCAGGACCCTGGTAGTCATTTCCTGCATAAATGAGGAATTTCCTTCTGGCATTGTCATCAATAAATGGACTAACTAGTGTCCAGAGCACAGGAAATACCCTGGGTGCCCACAGGATGAGAAGTCGGCCCAGTCTCTCAGGGTAATTGGCCTTCACCACCTCGATGATCCGCCACAGCGCTTTGACATCAGGTCTCCACAACTGGCGCATGTTCAGCCCTTCCAAGTCCACCAGGCAGGTCCATGAGCTGATATGCCAAATAAAGACTTCTGTATTCTCTTCACATCGCCTTAGCCCTTCTTCATTTATGGAGAGGATGTATCTCAGCAGGGCTTCCTCCCCAAACACTCTCATCAAGCCGTTGGTGTCCATCTGCCCCAGCCTGAGCACACAGAGGGGCCGCCCACCTTTGTTGTAATGACGCCAGCCTCCTGTGTAGTAATCCTGAAGGAACTAGTGGAGAGGTCTAGGTAGCAAGAACGTAGTCTACCAGGTGCTGCTTCCTCCATGTCAAAGATTGACAAATGATCTCTCTGGCTTTGTCAATATTAAAATCCCGTGCACGTAGGAACTGAAGAATATGTTCATCTTTTGGAATTTTGCCCTTATGGGTCTTCTGGAGCCACCAGTGAAGTCTAATGAGAGAGCTCTCCTGCAGCGGAGTCAAATTGCCCAGGTATCTCTTGATGTAGTCGGCATCTACATCGTTTGTCATCAGGGGTGCCCACCACGGGCTCAGGTGCGCTGGGGCTGCTGAGGGCATCACCACTCAGCCCCTTCTTGAGGGCAGCATCTGGGATGATGACGGCCATGGACGCTGTTTGTTTCTTGCAGGATGACGAAGATGTCTCTGAAGAGGGCATGATGGAAGGTGGAGTCCAACGGGGCACAAAGGTTATGCCTTCTTCTTCTAAATGGCAAAGGTAGTATTCAATGATTTCCTTTCCTTTTTAAATGTTGCTGGTATATTGTTTCATTGCAATTTTTTTCCATGGTACTTTCAAAATCAAAGAAAGATTTAATATCTAAACTCGAAGACTATTCAAAACAGGTCCAATCTTCATTTTCAGGGTGAACGGTGTAGCGACTGGAAAATGTTTCATTAAGAGCCTCAATATGCAAAGTACACTCCCAAGAATTCAGTGAGTTCTTCTGGACAAAATAAACGTAATCAAATTCTGCAATGTTCTTCAGCAGTCTTGGTGCACCTACATCCAGCTTGCAGTGCCTTTCAATGACATGAATAGCCCCATCTTCACTCTTGAATTCATTCACAGTGTCACTGCCCACAAACATCAGAATCAAAGGCACACGTAGGGAACCTCCTTTCATAGGCAGCCATAATAATTCGAAGGGGTATTCGTACACCCTCACTGCTGACTGGTATTTTTGCACCATGATTGTAATACAACAGCAATCCTTTTACAACTGTCTTGCCAAAGATAATCATTAAGAATGGTATTTTATGCTGAACATGGTGACAGGATATTCAAACATACAAAAACTGAATATCCTCAAGGAACCCAAAGTCTAGCTCTTGTCAGAAAGGCTGGGCCTGGGATGCGGGGTGGCAAGGGGCACTCCTACCAACGGCTCTGCGGGGCAGTCATGGTTCCGCTAACAAGCGCTGACTTCTTAAAAGTTAATTGCAATATGGAATCGGAAACCATATCAAACTTTTCATATTCTTTTATATATAAAGCCACTGTCAGCCGAGGCAATCAAGTGAGAACCCTCTCTACAAAAAATAAGCCAGACACAGTGGCACATGTTTGTGGTCCCAGGTACTTGGGAGGCTGAGGCAGGAGGATCACTTGAGCCCAGGAGTTCAAGGCTGCAGTGATCTAGGATTGAGCCACTGTGCTCGCTCCAGCCTGGGCAATACCTGAGCAAGACCCTGTGTCTCTAAAATAAATGCTTTAAATTAAAAAAAATAATAAAGCCATTGCTCCAGCCTGCACTTTGAATGAATCTTTAACCTTGCATGGGTTTGTAACATCAACCACTGGTCATCTGGAAAATATTAGTTCACTAAGTTATATAGATCTTCTAAAAGGTGACACATTTCATTATACAACAACAACAAAAAATTCTCATCTGAGTATTACCACTGATCTCAGCAGAAAAGCCTAAATAATGGGAAGAAGTCAGGCTCAAAGTGGCTGTGATGGTTAATATTGAGAGTCAACTTGATTGAAGGATATAAAGTGTCCTGGGTGTGTCTGTGAGGGTACTGCAAAAAGAGATTAACATTTGAGTCAGGGGGCTGCGGAAGGCAGACCCATCCTTAATCTGATGGGCACAATCTTATCAGCTGCCAGCAAATACAAAGCAGGCAGAAAAATGTGAAGAGACTGGTCTAGCCTCCCAGCCTACATCGTTCTCCCGTGCTGGGTGCTTCCTGCCCTCAAACATCGGACTCCAAGTTCTTCAGTTTTGGGACTGGGACTGGCTCTCCTCACTCCTCAGCTTGCAGACAAGTCTATTGTGGGACCTTGTGATTGTGTAAGCTAATATGTAATAAACTTCCATATATATATGTATGTATGTATATGTATCTATCCTATTAGATCTGTCCCTCTAGAGAACCCTAACAGTAGCAGATACCAGTTTTCCAAAATTCTAATTTTTGCTTGAAAACTCAACTTTTATCATTAGTAAAAAATCTCGTCCATTGTTTTCCTTGAAGTGACATTCACATCACTCATTTATGAGGAAATGTCTGCCAAATACTCAAGTATGAATAACCACAGTCGGTCTGCCGGTTGTATTTTAAGTAAAAACAATCCACAACAAAAGTAGCTAGTTCAGCTTACAGCTCAAACAGTCACACTTCAGTTTGTAGCAGGAGTGCTTTAGGTATACTTTTAATTTCATCAAGAAGACTATTCGGAAGACACATACTCAAAGACCAAGATTTAATAAAACGAATAATGTTTCACCAACAGACATTCTTAAATGAAACTGGCATTCTTAAAAGTTTACATTGGAAGGGCATGATGATGATTAACACAATGACTACTAGTACAGTTTGGTGACAATGGCTTGATTCACGCTAAGGCGCTGGCAGCTTTATCCACCATTACCATCAGTGCAAACCCAACACAGTGAAAATACCATATGGACTTAGTATTATTATGAAAATAGTTTTACTTGTAGATTCCCAAAAAAGGTTTCATGAACCCTCACCAGGGATCTACGGATTATACTCTAAGAACTGCTACTTTAGGGAACTCCTTGAATGTGAATTGTATTAGTCTGTTCTCATGCTGCTAATAAAGACATACCCAAGACTGGGTAATTTACAAAGAAAAAGAGGTTCAACGGACTGACAGTTCCACATAGCTGGGGAGGCCTCACAATCAAGGCAGAAGGCAAAGGAGGAGCAAAGTCATATCTTACATGGCAGCAGGCAAGAGAGCGTGTGCAGGGAACTGCCATTTATAAAACCATCCGATCTCATGAGACTTATTCACTGCCATGAAAACAGTAAGGGAGAAACTGCCCCCATGATTATCTCCACCTGGCCCCACCCTTGACACACGGGGATTATTACAATTCAAGGTGAGATTTGCATGGGGACACAGCCAAACCATATCATGTTATGTGTTTCATAGTGAGGAAACAGATGTTCAGCAAAGGAAAGACTATTACTGTTACTATTATTAAGTATATCCCATGGTTGTCAGGTAAAACTGCCAGGGAAGCTTACATAATCACTCAGCTTTACTCTGATGTGAAAACCATGGTTAAAGATGGAATTCCTTGTTATGGATATTACATTATAATATTATATTCTAAGCAGAGGATTTTAAAAAATAAACAGCAAAAACAACAAACAGTTGGCTAATGGGACACCTGCGGAGACTCAGGAAGCCTCTGGAAGTTGGAAGTTTCTGTATCTCTTGTTCTCCTTTTTTATTGTGGTAGAAAAACACATAACATGAGATCCACCCTCATAAAACAAAAATATTAAATTAACCTTTATTCAGAGAATAAATTCAAAAGTGAAATTTCAATAATAATGTCAGCAGGCTGTATTTCCTATTTACAGTTTTAAATTTATCTTCATAGAGATAAAGATCAGATGCTAGAATTACACACTTAACAAGAAAAACAAGAATGTAAAGGAAGAAGATAGGTTTTTTTCCACAATGTCACCGAGAATCTAATTAGCACTTCCCTGACTTGCTTAAGGACTGAGTACTGAGATAACATAAAGTTTGCGTTATGTTTCTAAGTAGGTATTTTTTTTTTCTGGGTTATTTTTGGTACTGAAATAGAGAGAAAGGAAGAAAAAGGGGGATAATGAACTAGAGGATTAATTTAGACTCTCCAACCAATACTCTATATACAGATGCCTCAGAACTGAATGTCTAAATTAAAATTCAGCATTATCTCACTGTTCAGTGAAGACAGTTTATCCTTAAAAGACATTTTAGGAAAAGAATACAAAAAACATCAATCACAGAAGTGAAAGGACCTATTCAGTGGATTTCAAACAGCGTTGTATAGAGTTCTAGGTACCTCAGCAGTACCTCTGGGTCTACAGAAGAAAGGAGAGGTCAAGTTGGTGGGACTCCCAGCCAGTCAAGGCTCTGATCTGTTTTATACACTGGGCTCATATGAGATTTAGTTTGAACAAAAACTAAAACAAGTTTAAAAACCCACGACTGAAATTGCTCCTTTTGCATGGGATATTAAGTCTCAGGTAATGACAATTTTTAAACTAAATAAGTACCCCCAACATATATATACACATATTAGTGAATCCACCTTTAAAAAAATCTGAGAGGTCGGGGTGTGGCCGATAATCACAACTATTCAAGGAAGCTGAGGCAGGAGGATCACTTGAGCCCAGGTGTTCAACACCAGCCTGGGCAACATAACAAGACCTTATATCTAAATTTAAAATGAAAGTAAGTAAAAATCTGAAAAAGGGCAGCTCTCTTTTGTTCAAGATAGTATACAAATGAACTAAATATATTACCAATAAAGACAAAGTTATGAGCCAGTCAAATCCGAATTAAAGAATTCTAATTTGACCACATTAATATCCAACAAGAGGGTTGTTTGAATAAGCTATGGCACACATAGATTACAGAATACTGTACAGTGATTAAATAAGATGTTGTACAAGAGTATTTAGTGATAACATGTTAATGATACACAGTTAAATGAAACGCTATATATATATGCATACATATATACGTATATATGTATGCATACATACATACATATACTGTATACGTATATATATGTACATATACACACATGTATGTGTATATACACACATACATACGTATATATACACATACATATATACGTATATATACACACATATATATGTGTATATATACACACACACACATATATATTTGAATGACAGAGTCTTGCTCTGTCTCCCAGGCTGGAGCACAGTGGTGTGATCATAGCTCACTGTAACCTCAAACTCCTAGGCTCAAGCGATCCTCCTGCCTCCACCCAGATAATTTTTAAATTTTTGTAGAGAAGGCATCTCGTGACGTTGTCCAGGATGGTTATGAACTCCTGGCCTCAAGCGATCCTTCCACCTTGGCCTCCCAAAGTGTTGGGATTATAGACATGAGCCATCACACCTGGCCTATTTTATTATTACAGAAAAAAAGATTCTCTAGGCATATTTGTCTAAAATATCAAGATTGGAACCAAAACATCGGGCAGAATTATCAAGAATTTTAATATTCTTCATGTTTATCTGCAGTTTCTAAGTTTTCAACAAGCACATACTAACATTAAAAAAAAAAGGATTGTCATAAATTCTTTTGAAGAGTTGTCAAAATGTTGCCAAAGTGTCGGACAACAAGAGGCTACTTTACTCAGCAGATTCTATGTGCGTTGTGTTTATTCCCACCGGCTCTTAACCACGGGCAATTTTACCCCCCAGCAGATGTTTACCAATGTCTTGAGTTGGTTTTGGTTGTCACGACTGGCGAGGGGTGCCACTGGCATCTAACAGGTGGAGGTCATGGATACTGCTAAACATCCTACAACGCAAAGGATAGACCCACAAGAAAGAATTATCCAGCCCAAAATGGTAATACTACTGAGGTTGAGAAATCCTGCTCTAAAAGATTAACTAGAATGAATGAGAAAGAACTTCCCCACAGCCCATTTAATCTTCAAATTCTCTGCTATGACTACTAACAAGAAGATAAATTAATTCTGACAGAAACAAGGAAAGCAGGCTCTGTTGTACTGGCCTAATTCCATTATCTCCATGTTTCAAAATCAACCTCAGATAAAGGGTCTTGGCACTTCCCCGGCTCACATTCTAAATGAAGCCCTCGAAACCAAAGCATGCAGTTATCTCCTTACGTGAACAGGCCACGTTCCCTCGGTCAATGTTTTCTCCCTGAACATTTTAGTAAATTGGTAGCTTGCAATTACACATTTCTAGAAGCTCTGAAATGTGTCACATTTCTGTGTATCCCAATGCCATAAGCAAAACTCCATTTTCTTCAAAGCCTCTTTCAATAAAACATAACATTATTTGCCAAAGGCAAGATTCCAGGAACTAAACAGGGAGCTATTTCTTGGACCTTAACTCTGTCCCCTGGATGAGCTTAATTTAT